CCTTATCTTTCCGCAAACAATCTTGTAAAATCTGTATTGATCTTCTCTATCAATATATATTTTAAATTTGAAAATTGTGTTTGTATTCATCCCCCCCTTCTACAAACTGTTTAGTATTCTTGTAGACCCGTTTGGGACCAACAAGCCCCCCACCCTCAAAATGGTTAAGAGGTCTGTGTAACGATTAAGAGGTCTGTTTTTTTTTTTTTTTGCCAAACACATTTCACCTCTGACCGATTCAGAGGTTGGCTCTTAATGTCACCATTAAGAGCCAAACAAACAGCCCCTGAGTTAACATTACTAAAAAACATGAAATAATAGATAATAACAAAAAGCCAGGGTGTAAGACTCATGGTGAGATGTAAATACTATTTATAGTAGATCAATGCTATCAAAATGCTACAACATGAAACCATGCTGACAAATTGCTACAACATGCATTTAGTAACAACTATTTTCACCATTTATTTTGAGGGTACTCCTTTCGGGCTTCACTATTGCACTGATATTATAGCTTTCTAAGCATATCTCTCTGAGGTATTCAGACCAATGAAAGTGACAAATGGTCTCCTCAAAATATACGGATAAATAAATCTCTTTGTTAAAAATCCTCGAGTGGATTCCCATATCATTCAAGTTGACGTGTTCTGAATGACTCATCTCTGAGTCCATTTCACTTTATCACTTCAAAGTAATCAACCTGTCGAGAATTAACAACTTAGAAAATACAGATAACAACTCCCTCAAGTCTACTTCCCTTATCATCCAAATTGACGTGCAATCAATGGCTCAACTTAAAGTCCATGACACTTTAACACTTTTCAGTGATCAACTCGTTTGAGAAATGTCATTGGTTTTATAAAACTTGAAATGAAATAATGAAACATCGTTGTTACATAAAATGGTCTACTTTCTTTGATTTACAAACTCACCATTTCCTTCATACACCCGAGCTAAGAAATTTAGCTAGTTATAACAGAAAGTAAATAAAGGCATAAAATAAATAACGGATAGTGAATAACGGAATATAAACAACGGAAAGTAAAGAGCGGAAAGCGTAATAAATAAATGACGGAGATTAAATTGCAAGAAAGCGTAATAAATAAATGATGGAATTTAAAGAGCAATTAAAAGAAAACTTGGAAGAAATTGTCACTGTAACACCCCCAAATCCACATATTGCATATAACACATATTTTCACACATAGAATACATGTTTCCCACAAAAGTCCATAATACAAGAGTTTGTAATGTAAAATACATAACTTAAAAATTCCAAAAGTACATGCTCTTGTATCCTAGCATCTAAGCTCTAGAACATGGCTAATTAAGATCTTCTCACAGCTAAGCACATAGGGAAGTAATTCATATAATGCTCTTTCCCTTATTACCATTACCTGCACACATATTTTTGAAAAACACAAAAATGAGGGTTAGACATGAATTCTAGTGAGGTTCCCTTTTTATGTAATGCAGGGTGAAGATCACTAAAACATTTTCAAATAATCCATTCCATGTAGCAAAGACTGAAAATCATATTCTGTTTCGGTCCATCGAGCCTCTGGTTCGAAACCATACTTGGAATATTTTTCAATAAATAGGACTAGAGCCCCTGTGGTCTCTCAACCAGAACTTCTGGTTCCTCGACCAGAGCCTCTGGTTGTACTAACCAGAGCTTCTGGCTCATATAACTTCTTATAATGTTCATTAGTTAAGCTTTCAATCAATAAGATAGCCTTTTTCATAAAAAGAATAATTATGAAGAGTTCATGCTCGACCAGAGCCTCTGGTTGTACTAACCAGAGCTTCTGGTTCAAAAGACATGATCAACCAGAGCCTCTGGTTCGACGTGTAAGCCAACTAGAGCCTCTCTGGTCTGTTTTTTGTAAAAAGATTCTAAGTATATAATCCTTTTCTTAAATACTTCTTAAAATATGATTTTGACACATAAGCTCTTATCAATAGACACAAAGCCTCTGGTCCAACTAGTATATTTAGTATGAACTTGCATGTTTCTCAAATCAATAAACTAAACCTTTTGGTTCTATAGTGAGGACCAACCAGAGCCTCTTTGGTTTCTTACAAGGAACAACTAGAGCCCCTCTGATTCCTCATAAAAATGAACATTCTGTTCCAAAACACTTTTAACCAATACCAATGGCCATAGGCCAAGTTTTCCCCTTCTCAATAACATMAATACTATTATTTCTAATAAGAACAATATCTTTGAGTTCTCAAATCACAAAGAAGTAAGGACTCAAATCTATTGTAGTCTTAAAAGATATAATAATAATAGCTATAATATTCACACACAATTGCCACCCTTATATCCAAAGGTACCTCTCTCCTTGATATGTCACCCTTATTCCAAAAGACACATCTCCTTAATATGCCACCCTTATTTCTTCTTGAAAATCTATGAACTAGTTCGGATGAAGGACCGCAGTCACAACCATCTTATCGAATCCTCATTCATAGTTTTATCCATAAAATCTATAGATTAATTCCAAATGAAGACAGATTAAAATCACAATCGTCTCAAAAGAATATTCTCTATAGTTTTCAACCAACAGTTTTATTCATCAAAATCTTTCAAACTCAAGAACAATCTATTCTTTTAATGATTTTTATAACATCATATCCCTTTTAAATCCTCAAAACAGGATATTATTTCCCAAACTGTTTTAAAGAAGCAATCCCTTCTTTATCTTTCCCAAAACAGTTTTAATACTCAAATATATAACAATAACACCTTTAAACTATCAAAATAGTTTTACCATCTTTTCTTCAAAACCAACATCAAAACCCAACAGTTTATATAACAATATATATAAAKGTTTTAGTCATCAAAAACTCACCTTAATGATCACAGATTCTGCAGAATATAAACACACAACAGATCTTCAATTAGCACATAATCTTCAAATCAGCTTTGTGTATTAATCTTTCTCAAGAACTCTTTCACCGTCACAAACTTTCTTTTTCTCAAAAAGGTTCCTTTCTAAAAAAAACAAGATAAGACAAGATCTTATCTTTTCCTTCTTTATATATTTTTCTATCAAAGGTGGTGATGGCTTTAACCAATAGAGGTAATTTAGGCGGTGGGTTTTTCATTATAAAATTCATGATTTCTTAACCATGAAGGTATAAATTTTTAAATATTATAATAATGTTTCCACCAAAATATCTTATCACATATATGCGCCACCTTATGTATGTTTCACACCACATACATTCATGTATAAATCACATATACATCATGTCATCTTTTCAAATATATGCATGCACAATATCATGTTTACATATATAGTTCATGCATTTCTAATTATACATGCATATTTCACGTAATCCTCATAATAAACACGTATAAATTACCTCAACCCAGGTTGTCTAAAACTTGGTTATGACAGTCACCAAAAGTTTACTTATATTTCTAGAGAGAGAGAAACTACTGCAAGTAGTAAGATGACTACTTGAGATATTGATGGAATGATCAAAATACTAATCCTAACCTCTCTATTTATACTAAAATAGAGGTGAGGGCAAAATAGTCAATTAACATGATTTTAGAGTAAAAGTACAACTAAAGTAAGTAGTTAGAGGTCTAATTATACCAAGCTTAGATAACAAATTTCCAGCTAATTAAAATAATACAACTGGAAATACACCAAATGTCATCCAAAAAGTCAGCTCAAGTAATGTCATCAAGCTCCTAGTTCTCTCTCCTTCCTTTCTTCACATACATGTCATGCTGCAGCAATCCAACAACATCAAACAACTTCAGTCTCTCCATAATAAGTTCATATTAGCCTATTATAGAGTAACAATAGGTAAATCATTCAATCTATCTCCATAACGAAGAAGTGGAAAATAAGGAAATAAAATGAAAATGTTGGGATATAAATGGAAAAAAATGTTCTATCTAAAAGAGAAGAAAAGAGTGTTTAAGCACTAAATAATTAGTGCGTATCATTGGGCCTACGAATCCCTGAATCCAAATTACCAAATTCAGGTTTTATGTAGTCCCGTATTCCTCTATCTTTATCATCGGTAATTTTAATTGTGGTATCCGGAGGAGGTGGTGGTCGTGGATTATCCTCTATGGTTCGATTTAAAAAGTTCGTTCAATTTCAAGATCGAGAGGTAAAAGTTCACTATGTTGTAGCCTTGGCATATAACACGAAGAGTGCTTTGAAAGATGAAACAAATGACCAAGGCTTGAATGAAAGTTAATATCTCAGGATAAAAACCACGCCATTCCTCACGACGACGCCAAAAACTTGATTGCTATGAATCGTATGTATTCACACAGTGGGCATAAAGTCCCCACAGGGCGGTGCAAGTGCACGTCGACACTATGATCGTTACAAGTAATAAAGTGGTATACTACCAAGTTCGTTTCCACAGGGAATGAACTACTGAGAATCAGAGAGTTCCATGAATTTCTTGATCACGTTTCAGTTGTGGACAAAATTCAAGTTTTTGTTGGTTGAAATGCTTGAAAGATGAAATAAATCTATAATCAAAAGAGGTGTATGAGTGTAAGTTTTTCTTAAGGAAAATGTAGTAACACGATGGTCAAATACTTTGTGTATCACAAAATTGTCTATAAAAGATCTTGATCTCTCGAAAGTAAACCTCTATAGACTATGCTCACAAAGTGCCCACAAAGTGTCCACCATTGCTGATTCGTAGTCTTCCCGAATTAACTAAGTTTGATATATAATAATCAAGTTCAATTAGTATAAAGATTTATCCCCAAATATTTTTGTGAATAAAACTCGACTAAAGTTTAAACCTTAGTAAATCATACAAAACCTGTATCTCTACGTGATTATCAAAGACTCTCTCAAATCTTTATGCATCATTTAAGCCGTATTTCGAGTCTGCCCATCTCTGGGTCTAAGGTCTAATATTAACACTTCAAAGTGATCGGCTTATCCGCGTTGAATTTAAGTCATAACTCAAGGACCAAACTTATGAATTAGCAACAATAGGTGTTGCCTACTAGCCTTAAGTTTGACTCACATCCACACTCAATGAGGTAATTAGCTCATACTAGAAATGAAAAACATAATAAATAAATACTTGAAAAATGCTTGCACTAAAAATAAAGTAACAGCTTGGCCACATAGGGCAAACTGTGGACAGAAAATTACAATATAGAAATTAAAATACATAAATTAAATGCTGAAAATTAAATTATACACTAAATCTCCAAACACAAGAGTAAATGAACTCGTAGCTCTTGGTTGAAGATGAGATGATCCTTTAATGCTTGCACCATGCCTCTTTATATATGAAAATTTGAGGTCTTTGTCCAATGGATGAAGCATTTTGTTAATCATTTTAGTACAAAAGGTGTTTACTATTTATCCAATCTTCTAGAGATCTTCAGATCACTTCAAATCTTCAAAACATTGTATCCATAGACCAGATAAAAAGCAAAACATATTTTTTTTTGTCAAAAAGTAGTACCGAACATACCCACAGTATGCAAATAATGCCCACTCTCCATAGTAACGTCTTTTTTAGCACAAAAATGAATACTTGGTAATTCATCACCTCTTAAGAACAAGTTAGACAAAATGAAAGAAATAGAAACAAAGTGGGTAAATAAATACAAAAGCCTAGAAAAAACTAATAAATAACTCTAAAAAATGAGAGTTATCAATTACCAGAGCCTAAATAAGAATATCATGGAACATGGGTGCTTAATTGATTCATGATACTAGAAAACAAAAATTTTCGGTGGCAACAAAATTGAACGAGTTTACGTGCTGATAATATGTTACAGAATAATCGATATATAGAATCAAAAAACAACTAATTCTCACTAATTATAAGTCCTTTAAATAGAGACATGTTACAAAGAGATAATCATGAGATACATAATTTTAATTAACTCTAATATGTCTATCTCTATCTCTATCTCTATCGTCATATCTTTTTAACGATAACATATTTATCCTTTAATAGGTTCCTAAAGTTAAAATGAAAATGAAGGAAAAATTAGTTTTATCTTTAAACAAACTAATCACAATTTTTTTTTTGTAGGAAAAATATATAAAATTAATTCATAATTTATAAATATCTACTAACATATTTTGTATAGAGAAATAAAATAAAGGGTTCATTGTGTAGATAATTAAATATCAGGGGCTTTTTTGAAAAATCCATAAATATGGAACCCCAACAAGATTCGGAAAGCAAGTGCGCCCGAAATTTCATCCCAAACCTTGGTTGCTTTATAGTGAGAGAGGCGTTCAAAATCGGGCGTAATAGCTGAGGGTTGAAGCTGATTCAAGTTGATTTATCGTTGAATCTGATCCGTTATCATGGATTTGAATCCGGTTTGTTTCCCGAATCTCTATTTCTTTTCTTGGTACGGTGTGATGTTATAAGGTTTATGGAAGATTGATATTTGTTATATTTAGTTTGAAATTGTTAGGGAAGATTTGGGGCAAATGTGTTTTGTAGTGTTTATTGCATGTGGAAGTTCTTGATCTATGCAGCGCAAGTAATTGTGATTGTTCACCAAGGCATGCGATTGACAACTTCTATAATGATCTGGGGATGTCGTTGAAATCATGAAATGTGTCCTCATAAACTGGATTATACCGTGTGAGTATGTGCAGAAATTTGATTTTGGTTTAAGAAAGACTAGCTAAGAATAGTAAGTCGGGCTTAATTTTTTATTTTGATTGTTTACCGGTAGATCTTAAGCAGTATCTGAACTTTCGATATAAATCCTTGGCCTTTGTGGTTTGATGTAGAATTATGTTCAGAATAGATTAATAGGATCAAATCACATGATGATTTCATGGAGGTTTCTTTATGTGTTGGTGCCTGAAAGTTGCAGATGACACTAAATTACGCAAGAATCAGCATATGGTAGTGATGTACTGATGTTTTAGCTAATTTCATGTTGCTTCATCTGTCTTCTTTCACGACAATGGATGATTATCGGTATTGCTGAATGTATTGTATGTCAGTGATAACTGATAAGAAACTAAACTGCTCAGCTGCCTGGAAATATAGTTCGTACTATATTAATTCTTGTTTTGTTGTTGTCTGTAATCATTTTGTTTGGTTTTGTTACTAATCTCGTTAATCCACAGTCCATACAAGTAAGTTTTTTCTTGTTAGATGCCAAGAGAAGATTGGATGTGACATATTTCCCCAAGCCAGTGATTTGTACTTGGTTGGCTTTCCTGTTTTCGTTTAATTGTAATTGTTGTACTGATTTACTTGTTAGAATGGTGATGGTGATAAATTTCGATGTTTAGTTTCACCTTGTGACTGTATGCACCTTATGATTACCTTGCTACTTTAAGCTTCTGTGTCTGATATGAGTTGTGCATCGTATTTTATTGAAAAATGAATGGTGAATAAGAATTTTAAATGGCAATTTAACTTGCAAAATACTCGAATTTTATTTGAAAAAATATATTTTGCTGGATCTTAAAATAATTCGGCATTTTGCGTGTTAGCTGAGGAGTAAGTGACTAATTGTGAAAATATAGATGCAAATGGTAGAAAAGTGGAATGTCTTATGGTAAAAATTGCAGTAATTTTTTAATTTGCACTATGTATTGTCCATCTTTTATATAATTTTGTGATATTGGTTATAAGATCTACTTATTGTATTTGTGCTCAGCCTTCAGGAGAGAACTATGCGAATCCAAGGATATGCTTCTTTCATGTGCTCTTCAAGGTCTAGTCTTTTGGGTTTATGTCCTCATGATTTCTTGTTTTTTCTCTAACCACAATTCATTTTAACATTGTTCTATGTGTTTTGACAGGCTGGAGCATTGGCATTTTACATACTTTCGGCCCTGTTTTTTGATAGTTTTGTCATAATTTTTGTCGTTACGGTTCTTTTATCTGCTCTTGATTTTTGGGTAGTGAAAAATGTCAGTGGTCGAATCTTAGTCGGTTTGAGGTGGTGGAATGAAATCGATGACAATGGTGAGAGTGTATGGAAATTTGAATGTCTTGACCAAGAGGTGGGTATTTTCATTTTTTCCTCAGCTGATTGATTCATTTTGTTCTAAATTTTTTTTCAATCAGATTAACTGGTCCTGTAGTACCAGTGTTTTGTGTCTCACATGTTATATATCCTTTTACAGTCATTAGCTCGAATGAACAAAAAGGACTCGTGGCTGTTCTGGTGGACTCTTTACTTGACTGTAAGTGAATATCTGCTCCCAGTGAACGTGCTTGTCTTCACTGTCTATGTTGAGATGCAAAGGCGCATACTAGATTGATATTTTTTTGGACTTATAACTAGTATTTTATGAATCTGTGACGTTTAAAGTTTGGTACGGAATTATGTTTTGCTTACTATTAATATTTATGAATTTTATTTGTTTTACGCCTCGAGGCTTGCGCCTTGGACCGCCTCGAGGCTTACGCCTCAAGGCGTGGAAGGAAAATGCCTCGAGTCCCGGTTCCGCTTTTTAAAACCTTGGGCGTATGTGAATTGAAATTTAAAGTGAAATGTACAATCAATATGGAATTTGTATAGAAATTTGAAGTGAAATAAACTATCAGTTTAAAGTAGAAATTATTGACAGCAAGCTAAAATAAATCTTAGTGCGAATGCCACATTGATGGACCTTTTGGCACTAGCATTGATGTTGGAGATTCCATTTATGGTATGTGTGCTTGCTAAGTTAATAGTTTTATTGGTGAACTTGATGAGTGCTTCCTTTTCTGAACACAAAAAGAAAAAGAAAAAAAAACTTGATGAGTGTGTCTAAGCCATTCTTTTCTTTATAGGCGGTTATATGGATCTTCTTTGGGATATTCTCTCTGATAAGGTTCCAAGCTGATTATCTCCTTGTTGTTGGAGTTTGCTTGACCCTCAGCGTTGCAAATATTGTGGGCTTTACGAAATGCCGCAAAGGTACATGAACTCTTCTTTCCAGAATTTGATGGTGTGCAATGACTTGAGTAAATTATGGAATGTTTTTTGTGTAGTCTCCGTTAGGTTTTCGTAGGAGTCCACTACAGAAAGGCCTTAATATTGTCACCCCGAACCATAATACCTCTTGTCTTGTCTTGCAAGCAACACATTTATGCCACTGGAAAAACAATTTATTTTGTAAAACTAATTACGTTCCTATTCTCCATGGGATTGGGGTGCTGTTGTTCTATAAACACCTCCTAAACGAAAATAGGCTTCTAGCTATTTTGCTATTCTAGATATTTTTTAGTTTGTTGAAGTAATTAAATTTACTGTTTTAAGTATGTGTTATATAGTTCTATTCTGCATTCTTTGACCATCCTCCGAATTGAAACTCTTAAGATCTTTTTTTTTATTTTCCCCATTTTCTCTGTTTATTTTTTCTTAAAATCAAGGGCTTCTATTATATTGCAATTGTTCAGATGAAGATAAAGCACAAAATGTAAATTAGATGTTCTGTTACTTCTATATCATGTTGGAACAAAATCTGTATTAGTATATTAAAGATTCTGATCTTTCCACCATAAAAAATCTAAGAATGTATTTGTTCTATGGCAATGCCTCACAAGGTCCAATATGATTCCCATGCTTACTTTTTCTGATATTTATGCTTAGATGTTACATTTCCCTATTTTAATGCAGCATGAAAATGAATTACACAATTGTTGCAAGACCAATTATTGTCACCCACAGAGTGTCTCAGTTTGTCTCTTTCTCATCATTAAACCCAAAATAAAGACAGAATAGTCTTAAAAATGTGATGCTTATCTGATATCTCAATTTGTTTTAGAAACCATGTATAGCATTTACATATTACGTTTGAAATACTTTATTGCATCATATTTCCTTTATTGACATATCTGTGTGACCCTTCAAGTAGATGTAATAGGGTAAACAATCCTATTTAATAGTTTTTGTTTCAGTTTGATCATGCACTTTATTTATTTTGAATTGGCAAGTTCGAATGTCATGGTTTTTGCCGGTAATGGAGCAGTTTAAGTAACACACATGACAGGATAAATATTCTGAAGTTCTCTTATATTTTGTAGACATAAGGCTCTATTGAGGATTGCTTGAAGTCAAACATGCTTGTAAGAGCATTATAAGGCCGCAGCTTTTAGGTTGATTTCAAGATTCTAAGAGATCAGGCATATTTGTGTTTAGGTTGAAAAGAATGCTGGTTGGTGTTTGTTTTCATTAGCATGGTTCTCTATTGTGGCATAGTTCTGTACTGGGGATGCAAGTAGTAAGATTTGAACTTCAGGTGTCAATTATAGTCTTAAGCTGTCATGGAATAGGTAGACCGTTGTAGTTCAAAGGAGCAAATAGTTGGAAAGTTGGACTACAATGCAGAAAGATTATTGAATTCCAATCTCAGAACAGTTGTAACTTGTACATACTGAACCAACTATCAGTTCTAGCAATTGAGAACGGTCGTTCATTAGCTTTCTAATATTGTATAACCATGATTAAGTTTACCTTGTTGAATGGGGCAAAACTGAATCATGGGATTTTGGGATAGTAGTGCTCCCCAGTTTTTGGTTTTTGGCAAAGTTTCAGTTGATTATAAGATATGATTGAACTTGTGTAGAGGCTCCATGGTACTTGTTAGTAAAAATTAATTACATAATGAAATAAATAGGTTAGAGTCTATGCTGGCCTTGGACCAACTTATAATGTCACTTCTTGGCTGCTGGAAGGTCAAAGGTTTGAACCACAAGAAGAACCTCGAAAAATGCGAGGGATAGGCTGTGTAGAAAGGCCATGTTTGGCAATCGTAAGCTAGCTTATTTTTCGAGCTTATTCCAAAAAAGCTCTGTTTGGTAAGCTATAAGCTAGTTTTTTGAAACACTATTTGAAGTAGCGTTTCAATAAACCCTGGGTTTTTGCCTCTTTTTTTTCAGTTATGCGCCTTGTATTTTTTTCCTTTGATTTTTCAACATGTAGTTTTGGATCAATTTATATTGTTATCTAGCTTATCAGCTAGTTATTTATTTATCAAATATGACTAGTTTATTAGCTAGTTGCCATACATAGCCAAAGACCCCTCTCCCAACCTTGCAAACCCGAGGAGCCATGGTGCAGAAAATGGTTGCTTTCATTATTACAATTAATAGTAAGTAATTTGTCTTACTTGAACAAATTAGTGACTATATTGAACTATAGAACTAAAAAAAGTATTTTGTGAAAGTGTTTGTTTCCGTTTATTTGACAAGTACTAGGTTTGAATCTTCAAAATCAAAAGCCAGGAAAGTAACTGTCCAAATTTCCTTTGCATTTGATGAATTTGCATTGCAAGTTGAGTAGCCCTAATTGCTTTAACCTAAACTTCTCCCACGTACAATACTATGTCAATTGTAATGCTTGAGAGTTTGGTTTAAGAGGTTTTATGCTTGAATCAACCCCTAAGGGTGCGTATGGTACACAAAAGGAACTGGACTGGATGGATGAGAGTGAGATAGGTGGGTGAAAGAATTGTGAAAGGTTTTTATGGTTTTAATTTGACGTGGATAACTTGGTAATTTACCAAGTTTGTCCCATCTCCATGATTTTTTCCACCTATTTTGGTGGGACATAATAAATTGAATTTTTGTCCTGCTAATTTGGGACATATGTTTTAGCCGTACCAGATGCATGCTAAGGGGACACTTGCTGCCAGTCCATGTGGAGACTAGTTGTGCCAAAAGCATTTTTTGATAACCGCAAGTGTCTTGTGTTCACCTCGACTAATCCCATGTTAGAAAATTAGGATTACAGAAACAGGGTAAATGGTAATCGGAATCTGGATTGCTTGAGAATTGTGTAAGTTCACTTTCCAAATTGATATTTCGACCCTATGCCTGGGTATCACGAAAATCAATCTAGGATAATCCTCAATAACACTTTCGAATTTAGGCATAAAAACGAAAGCCAAAATTACTGTAGAATATTTTTTGAATGTTTAGATTTTTCAGCAACCCCAAAACTGATGTGTATCTCGTATATATACTTGTTCCATTCGAAAAAATGGAGAAGATTAACATAAATGACGGTTTTTAGGAAGTTAGAATCAGTTATAGACGGTTATAACCGTTAATGGATAAGATCATGGGTTTGTTAAACGTGCATGTCCAGAAATCTGAACATACATGTCCAGAGATGGTCCAGAGAGTCCAGATAGGACTAAGACCAACTAGAGACAGGGACTATCTTTGGACTTAACTTGTCCAGGGATCGAAGCTCTAAGTCCGGATACCACTTAGTCGATTTCACTAAGTTTGAATACCACATGATCGAACCTCAAAACTGATCAGAAATGACGTATCTCTTCATTCTGATCATGTTTTTTCACTGCATTCCGAGTCCAAAATTTTGTGGAGATTTTGAGGCGCTGCCCCTTAGACCCTGCAAAGGACGTTGCCTCCTTGACCCCCGCCTTCTCTTCGTGTCCGAAATCAAACTCGCTTTATATACAAGTGTGCACTCAACACCACCTAACTTGTATTAGATCACAGTAGAGGAATGATCCTCCGTGTTGGATATCCAACATGCATCTGAATAACCTTCTAGAACTGAAGGGTATCCTAAATAACTCAAATCATAATTCATGGTTCCTTTAAGATGCTTGAATACTCTTTGAACTGCTTGCCAATGTTGAGTACTAGGATTACTAGTATATCTACTCTACCGTCCTATGACATAAGCGATGCGGGCCTAGTGCTCGTCATAGCATACATTAAGCTACCAATCGCCTTAGAGTACTCTAGTTGTGAAATAGAATTACCCGTATTTGGCTTTAAACTTATACTAGGATCCATAGGAGTGCTTACGGGAGAACAATTTGTAGTTTACTCAAATACCATTCTAACTATATAAAGAACGCATCAATCTGACAAACGGTTGATTTTATACGAATTTTCAAACTTACAGAAACGAATCTGCCTCCTTTAACAGTACCAACTTGAAGCAATTTCATCAATCTTTAACTTTTAACCTATGAATCATGAATCAACTTAGGGTTTAACCATTTGCCCTAAAGAAGAAGAAATCACAAGAATTGATGTTATAATTGGAACTAGGAGCTCAAGATAAGGTATGCCTATAGTTTATCGAGAACTTAGATGACAACAATTTCTTAGTTTCATCTACCTGGTTTTGTTTAGTCCCAAAGATCAGCATGTCATCTACATACAAGCAGAAGATCACGCCTATACCATTAGCATCAAATCTGCTATAAACACATTTGTCACATTGGTTTATAGCAAAACCACATGACAGAATAACTTCATCAAACTTTTGATGCCATTGTTTAGGAGCTTGTTTCAGCCCGTACAAAGATTTCACAAGTTTACACACTTTATCCTCATTTTCAGGCATAACAAAACCTTTTGGTTGTTTCATATAAACTTCCTCATGAAGGTCACCATTCAAAAAAGGTTGTTATAACATCCATTTGATGAATAATCAAATTATGTATAGCCGCCATGGCAACCAATAATCTTATAGTAGAAATACGTGTTACTGGAGCGTATGTATCAAAATAGTCAATTCCGGGTTTTCGCCTAAACCCTTGAATGACTAAACGAGCCTTGAATTTTATCAATTGTCCCAACAACTTTCATTTTTTTTGAAAATCCATTTGCATCCAAGTGGTTTAGAACCTGGAGGCAAATCAGATAACACCCAAGTGTTAGTCTCAAGTATTGATGACATTTCATCATCAATTGCTTCCTTCCAAAAGGCTACGTCCCGAGAATCCATAGCCTCTTTGAAAGTCTTTGGATCATCTTCAATACTATAACATTAAGAGTATTGAATCCCAAGCTCTTCCCTTGAACCTTCCACTAAATACAGTTGGAAGTCACGACCAAATTTTTTGGCAATTCGACCTCTTTTGCTTTTCCGGACCTGTCGCGTTTCCAGATCAAAAATACTATCTAAACTTTCTGGATTTTGTACTTTACTAGTGCTAGGAATCAAGTCCTTAGGCCTTTTATTGATGAAAATTGCGTTTCATCGAAAATCGCATCCCGTGACATTTTTACGGTGTTAACCGACACCGAATCATCAGGTTCTATTACATAGAACCTATAATCTTTGGAATTTTTTGCATATCCAATGAATATACAATCAATTCCATGTTCACCCAAAGTTTTCCTTTTGGGTTCAGGTAGTTTTACAACAACTCAGCAACGCCATATTCGAAAATACCTCAAATTCGGGGTTTTCTTGAACCAAAGCTCATATGGTGTTGTTTTGTTCCTTTTATTTGGATTTGTGTTTAATTCATACCAAGCCGTTAATATGGCCTCTCCCCAAAATCCCTCACTCAATCCCAAGTAAGAAAACATCGAGTTTACCATTTCCTTTAAAACTCGATTTTTACATTCGGAAATTCCATTTTGTTGGGGTGTGTATGGTGATCTCATGGATAATACCAACTGATTGAAAATATTGGGGATCCATATATTCCCTCCTCGATCAGTTCAAAGACATTTAATTGAAGTATCCAATTGTAATTCAACTTTGGTTTTGTAAATTCAAATTTATCCAAAGCTTCATCTTTGGCATGCAAAAGATACACATAACAAAACCGAGTATTATCATCAATAAATGTGACAACATATTTTTTTATTATCCAAAGGAGTGGAGTGGAAATGACACAAGTCACTGTGTATAAGTTCTAAAACAATTGATTTTCTTTCAATATAGGAAAAGGTTGTTTTGTAACTTTTGTAAGCATGCAAGTCTTACAATTTTCTATTTTAATGTCAAAGGCTGGAATTAATCCATCTTTTGACATTTTATGCATTCTTCTAAAATTGACGTGACCCAATCTAGCATGCCAAATCATGGAATCTTCAATTTTAGAAGAAGACGACGACATAAAAGCAGAATTATCAAGACTAAATAATTTATTCACAATATTTAAACGAAACATTTTATTACTACAATAACCAAATCCAACAAATCTACCATATCGAGATAGGATATACGTATTCGATTCATGAACTTGTTTATAGACAACGATATTCAAACAACTACCACTAACTAGATTCTTATGAATTCTAGGAACATATAAACACCACATAGTTTAACACAATTTCCAAAAGTAAATTCTAGAATAACAACTCCAATCCCACAAATAGGTGCACTCGACTCGTTTCCCATATTAAGTCGTCTTCAATCTATGTCAACTTCTCAAACCACCGTTGATCCTTGCAAATATGGCTTGTCGCTCCCAAGTCAACCCACTATGCATAGTCATCATCTTGTACATAAAAAGACTTGGGAATAAGTGAAACATAATTCTGGAATATGCGTTTCTTGCCTTTTCCTTTGTTATTGGAATTCGTTTTCTTGTCTTCCAACCATGTGAACAGAGGGCTGTCCAGATTCAACTTTACTCTTGTTTTTGTCATTTTCTTGCACCCGAAGAGACTCTTCTATAGGCAAATGGCTACCAAGTTGAACCAATGACAATTCCTCCTTTTAATGTTTCAAGTTATGCTTGAAATCTTTCCAAGATGGAGGAAGTTAATCACTCACACTAGACACAACAGTGGATTCATCCATATTCATCTTGTCCAGTGTGAATTGACACAAAAGACGAAGGAGTTCATTATATTGTTCCGTTACGGGCCTTGAATCCACCATCTTATAATTGTTAAAATCGCTAACCAAGAACTTCTTACTTGAAGCATCTTCAGCGATGTATTTTGATTCAAAGGAATTTCATAATTCCTTCGCACTTCAGCGTTTTGATAAATATCAAATAAGGAATCACACATACCGTTCAAAATATGTCCTTTGCAGATGTAGTCATTATTCTCCCACTTGCTTCTCTTCCTAGTCTGTTCCAAAGTCTCATCTTCCACTATTTCCGGCATGGGGTTACTTATCACATACACAATCTTCAATTTTGTGAACAGAAAATGCATCTTTTTCTACCGGCGCCTGAAATCACTTTCTACTAACTTCTCCAACTTTCCAAACTTAGAAGTCATATCCTTCACAAATTCAGCCTGATCACTAACAGAAATATCAATTCGAGATTTCGAATGTTAGAAAATTAGGATTACAGAAACAGGGTAAATGGTAATCGGAATCTGGATTGCTTGAGAATCGTGTAAGTTCACTTTCCGACTTGATATTTCGACCCTATGCCTGGGTATGAAGAAATTCAATCTAGGATAATTTTTAAGAATGCTTTCGATTTTAGGCATAAAAACAAAAGCCGAAATTACACGAGAATATTTTGAATGTTCAAATTTTTTAGCAGCCCCAAAACTTATGTATATCTCGTATATATACCTGTTCCATTCGAAAAATTGGATAAGATTATCATAAATGATAGTTTTTAGGAAGTTAGAATCAGTTACAGATGGTTATAGCCGTTAATGGATAAGGTGATGGGTTTGTTAAACGTGCAGGTCCAGAAATCTGAACATACATGTCCAGAGATAGTCCAGAAATAGGACTAAGACCAACGGACTTAACTTGCCCAGAGATAGAAGCTCTAAGTCTGGATACCACTTAGTCGATTTTACCAAGTCTGAATACCACATGATCGAACCTCAAAACTGATCAGAAATGACGTATTTCTTTATTCTGATCACGTTTTTCCACTGCATTCCTAGTCCAAAGTTCTATGGAGGTTTTGAGGCACTGCCCCTTGGACCTGCAAAGGACGCTGCCTCCTTGACCCCCGCCTTTTCTTCGTGTCCGAAATCAAACTCGCCTTATATACAAGTGTGCACTCTGCACCACCTAACTTGTATTAGATCACAGTTTGAAACCCATTGGCACTCGTGTTAATTCCAATTACACTTAAACAACTGGTGAAGCTAAAATCACCAACATCCCGTGGGCCAGGAAGTTAACATCCAGGCAAACCTTTAGTGGCCCGAGGGCACTCAAACAGTTGAGCCCACCCTTGAGGGCTAGTTGTGCCAAAAGTATCATGGCTAAAAAAGAAAAAAAATACAGATACAATATTCTGTCAACCTTATTGCCTCATTGTCGTAACTTCTTTTTATATACAATTACAATTATGCTTTCTGGTTTATGTGGTATAGATTTTGATTTGAGTGTGTGTGTTGATTCAGATGCAAAGAAGCAGATTCAAGCATTTGCCTCCCAGACGATTGCAAATCGGTTCCAGTCAACGATACAGTCTGCATTTAGCGTTGTGTGATTCAGATACTACGTATAAAAGCTGGTTTGTTATTGTACTTGATCTACATACGTATATGAAACCAACTTGAATCTGGTAGAGCATAGTTTATAAAATTAGTCACGACTCGGAACTTGTTCTTGTTTGTTTTCCAGATGAATAATTCATCTTACTATTCTTTGCCAAATTGAAACTTATTAATTGCATTCCACATCCTATGAAGACTTTGAGAACAACAATATACGACTTGAACGAGGAATGAATCCCATGTGGTACAAGTATCTTGTTTTTAAGGTAATCGTCTCGATTCATTTCTAGGGACTAGAGATGTACAAGGCTCATTTTATTTTTTTCGATAAGCCCGGGCTTTTTCAAAACAATTAGGACTGATCGGGCTTTTATGGCCTTCAAGCTGTTTAATTGGTTGTACAGGTTTTAAGCTTATTTTATCATTTTGATTGGAATGAATTTAGTTATTAAAACGACAAATATCAATCAATTTTGTTGAACCAAAACATGACATCATAAGATTCTTTTTAAGAGGAAACATACAAATGAATCCAATATATTTTATTTGGAAGTAAGTCTGAAATGAGATATATTTTAGATCTGTTCTCTATCTCAAATGGTAGAGAGAATGTTCCGTAAAAACCCTCAGACTAGTGAACGAAAATTATAAAACGAACAAAGACTAGTAAATGATACGGTGCCATGTTATAAGAACAAACTTTAGTCCAAGGCTGGTGGATACCAACAAAATTTGGGTAAATGCTTGTTGGATAAGAATTATCCTTACTTTACCGGGTAAGATTCCCGATCATTGAAATCGCATATTATAAGCGTCTCTTACCTGGTAAACGCTAAAAACTTTTGGGGTGAGACAATGTATAATTTTTGTGTTTCTTCTCATCGTCCCCTTCATGTCACGACCACCATAGACACCATCAAGTCTCCCACCGGCGACCTGTTCTTTTTATGTTTCCTTCTTCTAGGTAAACCATTTTTTGGTGTCTTCTTCTCGGCAGCAACGCCTCAATGCCCCTGTTTTGATCTCTTTTCCAAAGGCATGCAGGATCTGGTTCCTCTAGTGGTTTGCTACTAGAGTTTTACAGGTCTAGCCAAGTACGAATTAGATCCCAACCAAATATGGGGATGGCATTTTCTTTATTTTCTTTTGGTGTAGCAGTTGTCAAATGAAATCAAAGAAAAACTATGTCTAACAAAATCAACATAAGATTATGGGTTGAGGGTGAAAGGGGTGGTTTTGGGGACCGCAAAGGGAGGGGGAGGGGGAGGGGTTAAATACAGGAACAAAACATTCCTGATTGTAGTCGGCATGGTTCTAACCTTTTTCTCCAATCAGATAAATGGTCAACATCTAGTCTTGATAAAAAGTACTTTTGTTTTTGGTAAACAACCATCTCTTATTCTCACTTACCCATTATGAGTCTCGGTTTAACAAAATGACATGGTAAGATTGTTGCTAGATACCATCATCTCTTATTGGATGAGCGTCTCTTACCCCATACGAGGCAATAATTGTTCAAGTTAACAAACAAGTGGAGGCAAGTGTTTAGTCAACCAGTAAGTAAGAGGCGGTAAATGTCCAATAACAGCCTAGAATTGCGTTATAGTTCAATGTTAGCATTGTGTGTCTAATGAATACAAAAACTCAACAGAGCATATCAATTGAAGAACAAATGCGATGTTGCGAAACAAAGTCAATGTTACAAAATAACGAATGAAATACAAAAAAAGGTCATCAAACACTTATCTTGTTAACCCTAAAGGAATCCATAATTTTATGGATATCATTCTCCTCCTCTATGAATACATTTTCAGGCACTTGTAGTCTCAACTCGTATAACTGGTTGTTCTCAACTCCAAGAACCGAAAGGTAGCGCCTATCCCATTCCTTACGTGCTACTCGGTCTTGTGGCATAACAGCCAACTCATTATTGTTGGCATATGACTTTATGTTCACCTGTGAACCAAGATCAATAGTCAAAATCGAAGTTGACCTGAATTTTGAACCACCACATACATGTCAATTGCCAAATTACCGAGGAAACCAAACCCAATGAATCGCATGCGAAGTGGAGCATTTGAGGGTAAGATGCACACAATCTTTCCTCTAGGCCACTATATAGCCATATCACCAAGGAAAGTAATGTTAAACCTTAAGATGGTAGGCCACTATATAGCCATCCTTCCAAGAAGAGGATTAGACATGTCCTACACTTTGTATGTCTTTTGGACTCATTCCAAACTCAAGTAGATACATATTGTGTGCTTTTGTTGCCTATGTACATTAGTTACCAGATTTTCTTGTAACAAAAAGGATTCAAGTCTATAAAATTAGTTAGTTTCACCTCATGTTCTAACTGGCGTGTCTTATGAACCAAATCAGAAAATCAGATAACCCAAACAGAAGTGGAAATCAGTAGGCTGTTTGATTGCTTGAAGGAAAAACATAAATGGTTATTGGTTATTCGAGAGGCCAGAGCTCTCCCAAGAACATGTTCTACAAATTTATGGATATCTTTACTCACCACCTGACCCCTATTTATACCACTCCTCTTACCCTATGCTGTTAAAATCGCGATATATCAGATATCGGTCTCTGGAAAAATATCGTTGGTGAAATATCTGTCAAAATATCGATTCCGATAATATTGCCGACATTTACCGATATTTTGATGGAAAAATCGGTCCGATATACTGATTTTCTATAAGGCAAATGTTTGGGCTTTTTTTTATTACATGTTGGGTTTAGTTTTTTGGGCCTCTTTATTTGGTCAACCAGACAACATATATATTAGGTCTCACACTTCTTCTCTTCTCGGTTCTTCACAGTTCATGCTTCTTCTCTTCTCGGTTCTTTCACAGTTCACGCTTATTTCTCTTCTCGGTCTCCTTCATCTTCACGGTCTGGCTTCTTCTCATTTTTTCGGTCTCCTTCTCTTCTTGGTCGGATGTACGAGAAGCAATGGGAGGTAATGAACAAGTTGGGCCAAGTACAAAGAGTAAAAGGGAGAGCTATAGGGATGATGATGATCATCATGTTGGAGATGAAGGGGAAGACGGGGAAGATTGGGAAGCTAACCTAAACGAAGAAGTGAACGTATTAGATGATGTTGACTCGGAGGCCGAACCTATTGCTTGCGATTAGCTCGTTTTTGAACACTTTTCCTATTTTGTTTTGTAAGACTTGTTTATTCTCCGCTTCAAAAGGAGCCGAAGAYATTTAAAGAACTTAATACTTTTTAGACGGCCCTAAAGAAAGAAGTACAGGAGCTGAAGTCGATTCGTCAACAGAGAAGGGGGGTGTGATGTTTTAATTTTGAAACTATATTTCTAAACTCTAATTAATACATATGATATGTTTAGGGGTGCATATATATATATATATATATATATATATATATAAGTCTAAGAAATATTATATTAACCGCTATTTTGGACCGATATATCACCGATATAACCGAAATATTGAATATCAGTCCTGACCTATATTTTGTATTTTGACCGCAGTAACAAGATAGCTATTACTTCCTTATTTTAAGTAATACCCAAACTACCCTCCCGCTAACAAACTATCCCAAATCTCCCTGAATTACCTTATATATCATGTACTGATGGGCTTGGGCTGGTAGGGTTGGTGAATGACACTGTCTATTGGAAGTTGGAACATATGGAACAGAGTAGAGCTGTATCTGTAGACAGAGTTAGGGGCTGTTTACTAAATGCTTATCCGGTAAGTGCCTACCAGGTTACTTTACCTTATCAGATGAACATGACAAGGATTGCAAATCTTACCCGATAAGAGCGATGACAAGGTTCGAGAGTCTTACCCAGTAAGTGAGAGTAACGATTCTTACCTGGTAAGCGCTTACTGGATAAATTGATGCATACGATGCCGTTGTAATGGACTAAAATCTTATCTGGTAAGTCAAGTTAAAGTGTTGATTCTTAAGCATTTACCGGGTAAACCGGGGGCGAAGCTAGGATTTTTGATGAGGGTGGTCCTTTTGTTTCAACCATATTTTCTGCAAGATCACCAATCACTTTTAAGTTCTGTCAGAGTCCCTAGATGTGGTACATCCTAACTTTGATATAATTTGAAGATATTTGAAACCCCATCAAATCTCTTTTTAAAAATTGTTCTTAAATTGGATATATGTATATATATATAGAGAGAGAGAAAGAGAGGGGGGGATCATGCGAGGAGCCGTTCAACTTACAAGAAATGCGATAAGGGGTAAATCACATGTGATTCTAGAGCAAAATCACATGCGATACAACATGTTTAGAATGTGCGATTGGTCAATGCGACCAAGTTGTGTGAAAACTCGCACGTGCAAAGGCTGGTCAGCTCGACGTGTCACATGTGAATTTACTCTAAAATCACATGTTATTTGGCTTTTCTCATAAGTTGATCGTCTCGTTTATACTCACCCTCTCTCTCTCTCTCTCTATATATATATATATACATGTATGTATGTTTGATGGATATATAAAAACGAAATAGTTGTTGAAACATGCGATAGATCAAAATAAGCAACTTCGTGTTAAATTTAGTAAAATGACTTTCTAATTCCATAAATGCAAGTATATTGTAATTTTTTATAAACTAAAATATTAAATTTATATATAACAACTACAGATAGAAAGAGTGACTAAGTGCTAACCGAAGTGGGTATCAACTACGGAGTTCATTCTCATCACTCCCAAGAACAATAGTGGCCTTTTTCACTATACATAAGAAGGCTTTTTAGAGGGTGAGGATGATCCCACCCTAGGCCAACATTGGCTCCGCCTATGGGGTAAACGGCCCTTAGACATAGGACTAGGAGGTGGGATGGGATCCACACAGTTCCTGCATGGGCTGTGCCGCTTCCTCTTTGTCTCTTGTTTTTCCATGTCACAACAAAAGTTTATAATTGCATTGAACATCCATCAGAACCATACCAAACGGACCGAATATGTCCCACCCTGAGGTGGGATCCGGGGATATGCTGAACTGACCTCTACTCTAAAGAGTAGAGCGGTTGTTTCTTTGACGATCCCCAGCTAGAGAAAAGTGTGTGAAAGGGAGAAAAACAGGTATGTTAAGATTTGAAAAGTTAGATAAGAGTAAACAATAGCAATGAAACAATGTGAGAGACAAATATGCTAAATTTTGAGAAACTAGATATGAGTAAGTAACAACAACGTAAATAGAAGCAAGTACAGGAAAAAATTAATTTTACCTCAATTTGGTAGTACATCTTCCCATCATCAGCTATTCTAGATGAAGTAGAGAGAATGCTTGCTTCACGTCTCACACCAAGTCTAGTAGACATGAACTCAGTCAAATACTGCCTAAGGACTGCCTTTCCAGCTACTTCTGGTGGACCCAAATCTTCAACACTCTGGTATTTCGACGATGAAGGCGAGGATACCTCAACGGAGATGTTCTCATCAAGAATGAAAGGGTCTCTGAAGAATATGTCAGCATTAGCACCTCGAACTTGAATCCAATTTTTAGGATAATTGAACGAATACCCATCAAAAGTATCTATATATTCCCTGAACACTACAGATTGTTGAGCAAACACAACATTGCCCTCAATTTGTGAGAATATGCAACTGGAAAGGACCAATGCCATCGCACTTCTCCTTGGAACTGCAAAAGCTTTAGTCTGATTATATATTAGAAGAATGGATAAGTTAAGGCTAAATGCAATAAATATACCATCATAGATTATATATTGACCTGCATATTGGGGTTTTATTATTGTTCTCATGAATCACAACGGTACACAAGCAAACAGCATTATAGCATGGTTCGTTTATTACAGGACTCCAGATAAACAATGATAAGATAAGAAACTTGTCATCCAAACTGTCCAATAACGTTTTCTTTTTGATAAATCAGGCTCCACATCTGACATTCTCCTTTCCAGTTTCCACATCTCTATCCGACTTCATGTAAAACAGTGGTTTTGTTTTCTGTATCAGTGTTGAATTTTAGTCCATGAAGCGATATCACTTGTACTACAAAACAGATCAGTGGATAAAAGTCGATTCTGACAAAATAAATTGATGGATCGATTTCCCAGACTTGAAAAATAAACCAACTCCCAAGTTTCTAGATATCTATCTGTTGGTAATGATGTTTCATTAGTCCAGCATTTTTCAAGACCAACATCAAGTTACCATGGGCAATAAATTATGATCTCATAACGTTTGGATGGTTCTTAGAGCATCTCCAACAATTTTTTTATGATTTTTCTAAAATAGATAACCAAAAGTTAAAATCTCTAAAAAAAATTAGATTCTCTATTTTAAAGATTAATTATATTTATTAATATACTCTATAGTTTTATCATCTCAATACACTTTATATAAGATAATACTAGTTCAATCCAATTGGTGGAAAAGAATAAAAATATTGTTTCTCTCTCAACGTATCTTGTTTTAGAGAATTCTCTAAACTTGAGTTTTCTATGGTTTTATCTATTTTAGAGAACAAATATAGAGAATATGTTGGAGCAAACCAAAGGGCCTTTGACCTATTGTTATGTGAGTTATTGGCTTCCTAGGAGGTTAAGGGTTCAAACGTCTTCAAAGGTGAGGAGGGTGTGTGAGTTTATTTGTTCTATTTGTCGTAATATAAATATTATATATTTCGAAAAGAAATATGTTGGAGCAAAATAGAGAACGAAAGCTCCATTTTTTCTATTTTAGCGAATCTGTTGTAGATGCTTACAAACTTGCACTTTAGTCTAAATACCAACTCAAATTTCATATCTTGAACAAGATAGAACTACATGCCCTAAGAAAATAGTATGGAGTAACAGCAGTCAAATCATGTAAGAGGCATTCGTTTATAACTAATATCTTCAACCGGTCTAGCTATGCACAAATGATCAAATTTCTTACTCAGACAGACTAGCAAACACGGTATATTATCCTAATGAATATTTGACAATTTAATCAAGCATGGATAATTTGAATTTTGACAACTGACAATTTGGTCAACCTTGGGGGTAGTGGAATTTCAGCATTTTTGATTAGCATCTCCATGTTATCGATTTGTTCATATCGTTTATCCATTTCTTAAATTTCCCTCATATCCTTGAAATTACTAGAATTCGAATACAAACCAACGAAATTATATCATTGAAGCTTAGCTATACTACAGAAGCACAGCGTCTACCATCAAATTAGACCACTGTGCATTCATACTAAATGCATTCACATCCCTGTGGGCAAAAATGAAACGTTTAAAAAACGAACTAAAATTGAAGAATCTCGATTGATATTGATAATCAATGGTGTTTTAATTCAACTAATAAGTGATGATAAGAGACTTACGGATTGCAGGTTGCAAGAAAGAGAAAAACAGGTGGCTGAATTGGAGAAGGTAGGAAACGGAGTGAGACGTGTTGGCAGGGTGAGTAGGGCGGTGTGGGCGGCAGAAGAAAGGAAATGAGGGGGAATTGAGGCCGTAGAGGTGGAAAGGGGTCTGAAGTTCACCATGGTTACAGCCATCCAAATGGATTTGAGTAGAGATAAGAAACCAGCAATCTCCCCTCTCTCTCTTTCTTATTTTATTCAAAGTGATATCATTATGGATCCTTCTTTTAAAAACTTATTCTTTTTTATTATTTCCATATTATATATTTTTTAGAAACATATTTTCATAACATATCAATAATAACTTTACAATTTACTGGTAAATGATGCGTTGGGAATCTCGATTTAAAACCAAGATCTTAAAATCTCAATCATGTTTCATTTATCTATCCCGATTTTAGTTGTATATATGTAAAATATAATTAAGTGTAAATTTTGAATATATATATAAGT